GGAATAAACTGCTATCATCCTAGAATAAGGAGCAGGGGGCAAAGCCCAGGAAAGCTATAAATGGGGAACACTATTTTAATACTTTCATAATGCCATTTTCAAGTATATATGATGACTGAGTATAATACATATTTTCCTAGCTGTCTCTTTTGACTATTAATTTTTACTGTTGCCTTATCTCAAAGCATAATTGGAACACTTGCTTTTCTGGAGTTAACTGAAGTAGAATAGATTTTGTTACATGTCCAGATTTTGCTCTGTATGTAACAATGTAACAGACACATTTAGAACATCTTTTCAGGGCAGCAAATTATACGTAGAATTTTAATTTTTTAAAATAGATATATAAAATTTAAAAATAAATGTATTTTATCAATATATTTTATTTAATATTGCCTAAATTTCCTCCCTGAATCCCTTTTCTCTTCCCAGAGAGTCATATCACATGACATAGGATTGTTTAAAAAGAAAAAAATCAGTAAACTGATAAAATCAATCAATATACTGAAAAAAATGATCTGTCAACATATGCAATCCACAATCATGTACCTCTTCCCCACCTCTGCAAAGGAGTTGGGAGAGTCATCTTCTCTTTTCTCCATTTTAGGGTCATGCTTACTCTTTGTAATTTTTCTACATTCACTTGTAAATGTTTTGTGGTTTTTCTTTCTATTTACATTGTTGTCATTATGTCTATTGTTTTCTTAGCTCTACATTTTGCATCAGTCTTTTCATGCTTCTTTGTATTCATCATTTTCATTGTTTTTCGCAGCACAGGAATATTCTGTTACATTCATGTACCATGTAGCTAATTTGTTTAGCTATTCGCCAAAAGATATGCATCTATTTTGTTTCCAGTTCTTTGCTGCCACAAATAGATTTTATTTTTCATCCCTTCATTTTAACTTTGTATATATCTGTATGTTTCAAAATGATTGCTTTTATGTAGCAGATTATTGTTCTGAAAAACCAGTAATTCTATTCCTTTTTTATTGAATAATTCAATGCATTCACATTTAGGGTTATATACTTAAGTTTATGTTTTTTTCATGATTTTTTTTTGTTTTCTCCTCTCTTAAGTCGGCACTTTGTTTCTGTAGATTGTTTTGTTTACATTTATCTGATCCCCATCTCCTGTACTTAACTGTTTCTCCCACCCTCTGGTTACCTGCCCAAACCCAAATCCCTTAACTTTACTTTTATTGCCATTCTACTTTTTCCATTGTTATTATTTTACCCCTCCCTTTCCAAGCTCAGTTAAGAATATGGTAGTACCTAATCTTCCTTTTCTACACCCTTGCACTCTCCTATTTCATCTTTCTCTTTATTTCAATAACATTAATTTGTAGGGCCTCTTCCCAAAAATAGTTTTATCTTGCATTCTTTATTATTCCTTTTGCTGTTTAGGAATACAAATTCTCAACATAAACAGCTGAGTACAATGAGGAATTTGCCATATCTTACATACTTTGTTGCTGTTTAGCTGTTTCAATTGTGTCTAACACTTCATGACTCCTTTTTGGGGTTTTCTTGACAAAAATACTGGAGTGGTTTGCCATTTCCTTACACATGAGGAACTGAGGCAAACAGGGTTAAGTAACTTGCTCAGGGTCACACAACTAGCAAGTGTTTGAGGTCAGATTGGAACTCAAGTCTTCCTGACTATGCCTGGCACTCTTTCCACTGTGCCATCTAGCTGCCCTCACATACTTTGGGCCTGATCCTATTCTTTCTTTTTTCCTCTTTTGCTTATTCTTTTTCATATCACGCCATCTTCCAATTAAACTTAGGGTACCCTCTTGAATCTTCTCTGAGTTGTGAGCTTTCTCTTCTGGGTCCCAACCACTTTCTCCCCCAATTAAGGACTGGTACTGAGAAGCATGATCCTGGATTCAAAAATCTGTTCTGAAATATACAATTTCATGTGCTACCTCCATCACAAGAAGAATTCATTGGAAGATGTTTCACTCCTTCCTTCCTCTGTAGGGTCATTTTATGGTATTTCAAAAGTGTTCTTTTTCTTTGGGCAGGACCAAAATACCAATTTTCCCTTTGTGATTTCTTCCCAAATGTTCTAGCCTTATAATTTCACTGCTTCAAAGGCAGGAGGAGAAACCAAATGCCTTTCATTCACCTCTCCTTCTCAGTTTTGAGCAGTCTTTTCCTGGGCATCATCTTCTCTGCCTGCCTGAGAAGAGTTCCAGTGTGTTATCATATCAATCACCAAGCAATACTGATTTACTAACGAGAGGATGATATATTTTGTCTCAAAAGTAGTAATTCACTTCTTCCTCCTATTGTCTTTCTGATTTTCTCTATACATTTTTTTCTCCTTAGATTCTTTAGCCTACTAATGGTATCTTTCCCTTCTTGACATCTCTCATACAAAGTGCAATTTTTTTTCTGAAGAAACAAATACATTTCCTTCTCAATGTAAATTTGTCACTTTGTCTAGACGTAGTAATGTGAAAGCAGACATTTCATTTCTATCTCAAAGTATTTAGTTTTCTTCTATTTGATTAGTTTGCATGTTGAATACCCTTCTCACCTCTTCTTTCTTTTGGAGGAATGTCTTGAATTCTTCCATTTTGCTGGAAAATCTTGCTATTTTTTTTCTGGTGGTTAGGCTCACATTTGCAAGAGATGTCATAATTTTTCCTCTGATTTCCTGTAAGTGAGTAATCCTGAATTGTTTTCAAGTTATTATCTTTGGGATGTGAAAGATTTTTTTCTAGCTGCATAGTTAGGGCTAGATTGTTACGTTCTAGTTTAGAATCCCATCCATATAGTGATATATATGTTATATTCACCTCTCTCAAATAGGGCTAGATTAGTACAAATAAAGAATCCCATGAAGTCATAACATTATTTGAATTCCTTGTATGTTTCCATTGGACTGGAACTAATATTTTACATAATTAGAACTTTGAATAGTGTGAATCAGAATGTATGTGATTACTTCACAGGATTCATTATTTGTATTAATTGGGACCTGAGAAAAAAAAAGCCAAGATCTCCCACTGCATCCAGGGCCATATCTAGTCATGCTGATCTGTATCTTGCCACTAGATCTAGATGGCCCCAGAGAAGAGAATGAGGCTGGTGACTTTGCACAGGGCTGCCTCACTTGAATCCAATTCACTTGCAAGTCATGGAATCACCTTCCTGATGTCATGGTCTTCTTCCAGAAGGAAGGACAAAAAACAACAAACAACAATTGGGACCTGGATGTAATCCTTAACTTTGACTATAATATTTCTTGGTGAGTTAAATTTGTTGGTTCTGTTGTGGTCTTTTCTATCTTCCCAATCTCTAGTTGGCTACCTCCTTTCTATATTTCTGGCAAGAAACATTTCTTTGAAAAGGGTGCAACAGTTCTGTATGATTTCCCTGAAATATTGTGTTAAGGTTTCTTTTTCTTGATGTTTTTCTGAAATACCTATAGTCCTCAAGAGCGTAGGTTCTACCCCAACCTCAACTGATGTAATCAAAGAAGGTCCGATACTTCCACTGAATTAATCAATCAATAGTGCAAACTAGGCACTAAGGAATTTTCCTACAATCATACTGTAAGGTATAAATCATTAATTTGAGAGGATTTTAGGATTTTTGCCAGTGGATGAGGCAGATAGATAGATGGTATCATATAGGAAATATCTTGTGACTAGCTCAAAGATTGTATTCCTGGGCTTATGTATAAAAGTAGTAGTTAGTCTAACAGTTCATTTGTAGAAGACTCCAACTTTTAAGAGTTGCAAATTCCAGAGTTGGAGCTACACTCAACTAGGAGCCTTATTTCCTATGTGACATTGGTTTTATTTCCCTGAATCTCATTTTTCTTATCCAAACTTAATTCCCGAAGTACTAATTCTCCCCTAAAGCCCTACTCCACTATTTTATCATGGCATGGAGAAAACCTTAGATTCTTAAAAGCTAGGCTAAAGAAAAATGAACTCTGTCAGACCCTACCGAACTGGAAATTCCTGGAAGATAAGCTCAACAGTGGACAATTATATTAGATGTTTGGAAAGCCTCCGCACAAAAAAAGATAGCTTTTATGTGGTGATATGTGTATATGTTTTAGCCACTGTAACTCATGGTAACTATTTGAAGAAGAATAATTGTAATCTGCATTTATGGAGGAAGTACCTACAACATCCAAACCATAAATTGCTGAAGAATTAAATTAAATAAAATGGAGCTAACAAATACTAATACCTTAGGGCTCACAGGGTTGTTTGAGGACACATTAGATGGTATACAGCTAGGCCTTGGATCCTGTGACATTGTCCATATTATTTGAATACACAGTATCTCTTTTCATTGGTTTAGAGAAATATTTTACAAAAATATAACTTCAAATAGTGTGAATTCAAATATATAGAATCACTTCATGTGACCTGAATGTACTTAAGACACTTTATAGTTGCAAAGCAGCAATGTAAATATTTCACAAGCTTGAGTATAGACAAACATAAGAGGCAGCATCATATGGTAGATAGATAAAGAGATGATTTCAAATAGCTGATTAGGAGAGCATCACTTTCTCTCTGGGATTCCCCTAGAAACACAAAAAGATGTAGCCAGCCAAGCTCTGGGGACCTGACCTGCTAGGGCACATGTGGATTAGAAGTGTAAATACAGAGTCTCACTAGGCAGGTATATATCTTGATTTAACAATTCTACTCCACCACTCCTTAACTCTGTTTACTTTAACTATATAATATCCCTTCCTTGTTACATTCTAGTTTTGAATCTCATCCACTTAATTTTAGTTATATATTTGTTATATTCACCTCCCTCAATTAAAATGTTGAGTTCACTTTAACAATTAGCCATGTACATGTGCTTTGGTAAGTAACACAGGGTCATAGGATAATAGATGTAGGTATGGAAGACATCTTAGTGTCTAGCAACTATCTATATTTACTATTATCTATACTATCTACTTTATATATAGTATGTACCATATATATTTATAGACTAATATATGTGTGTGTGTGTGTGTGTGTGCGTGTGTGTGTGTGTGTGTGTGTGTATTCTATATCTGTGCTATATACTACTATCTAGTCTAGCTACTTCATTTTTACAGATGAGGAAACTGAGGCCCAGGAAGTTTAGCTAATTTGTCAAAGGTCATACAAATAGTATATAGTAGAGTTGTGATTTGAACTCAGATATTTCAGCTCCAAAACCAGCTTTCCCTGCTCTTGATAGATAAGGCCATAGATACCCTCTAATGTTTTCTAAGTTATTTGTCCTATTAATTGTTTCATTCACTTACCTACTTTCTATAGTACTTGGCTAAACATTTTTAGCTGGGTACTTTTTCTCACTCTATTTTCATTTTTAAATGCTTTTTCTTTCACCAAGCATGTTCATCCTAATACTCACGAAATGTACTCCTTCCCTCCCTGATTCCATTATTTCAGTAAAATATACCAGGAGCTAGAAAACTAAATCCTGCTCCCTGTCACAATCTACATAATATTCTGTTCACTTTCTAAAATGTCCTAATCTTTCCAAAATTCACTAACTTTAATTGGTAAAAGAGCTACAAATTTCACTTTTGGCTTTAAATCATTTAGCTTAGCTAAGGGGTTTTTGTTTTGTTTTGTTTTTTTACCCTAGACAGATGCTTTCTAGGTTTTTTCCCCTAGTGGTATCATTCATTCTCACATGAATCAGAAGAAATGGGTATGAGTCAGTGGAATTTGATAGGTCTTGGCAGGCTCTCCATCATACCTCAGATGCCTGCCTCAGGAAAGCAGCTCATCTTCCTGTTGGTTAGTCCGACCTGCATATAGCTGCTTCTGTAATCCTCAGAAGAGAGTCATCAACCATTCAAGATGCACTTATTTCTCTTAGGGCTAATTAACAGTTTTATTTACACCTGGGTTGTTCTTATTGTTCTCAGGAGCAAGGGATACTGTTTCTTTAGAAGGCTGAGATTCAACCTCTATGAAAATAACCTCATGCTTGTCACATAGCTCCAGTGCACAGGTTCTTCTCTGTTTTTCATCCTCTGTGTTACATTCTTCCACTTATCAACCTCTTGATACTGCATTCAATTTCATTGCTACCTCCCAATCATTTCCCTCCTGGATTCTGTCAATGATTATTTCTTTCACCCTCTAGCAAATCTTCATTCTCTCTAATTAGCCGGAGTATAGAGGCATTCTTCTAGGCCTTTTACCTTCTCAGTCAGGGAAATATTTGCGTTTAGTTCACATATACATTTGGTCAGTGCCCCTGGTAAGAAGATAAACACAACAAATTACTACAAGTCTGTGAGTTTCCTTGCTTTTATTACCATATCCCCTTGCTCCCACACCCCTATTCCCATCCCAAGTGGAACTATAGTTCTTTGTAGCTCTCCCTGAAAATTTCTCTTGCCAACTGATAAGGCACTCTGCCTCTTTGCTATAGGTGTTTGCCACAGTCATGAGCTCTGAATTGCACAGGAGCTCTGATAATGACACATTTAAAGCAGCTGGTCCCTTCCTACTGACCTCTCTTTAAAACTAAGCTAATATTCCACATTATACAGAAAGCCTTTCCCAACCCCTCTTAATTCTAGTATCTTCCCTCTGTTCATCATTTACCACTTATGTGTAGCTTGCTTTGCATGCATGTTTGCATGTTGTTTTCCCCATTAGATTCTAAGCTCCTTGAGGGCAGGGGCTGTCTTTGGCCTCTTTTCACATCTCCAGGGCTTAGGACAGTATGTGGCACACAGAGGGCACTTAATAATTGTTTATTGATAGATTAATTGATTACTTCCTTTTTTGCCAGGCTCTGCTCAGGTATGAGCAATTTGCGCTGGTTTGCTTGAGCCTACCACTCAGCTAAATATGCGTCAGCCCAGCCTTTGTAAGCTACCATTAGGCCTCATCAGCTAACAGAAAATCCCTAACTAGACTATTTAAAAATGTCTCCCTTTCCCTTCTCTTTTGCCATATCTGGTCACCATGCTACTAGTCTCTTAGTTGCTTTCATGTGAAAAAGCATAAAGCAGTAACAGATGCAATATAGAATAGGTCAGGAATAGAATTGAGCTTGCATTTTACAAGGGACAAGGTGAGGGGAATAATAGGCACACCGTTAGGTAAGTACAAAATTTATAAAAATAAATACAAAGAAATTTTGGGGAGAAGTGGAGTATTACTAACTGGTGGAATCAGAAACGACTTCTCATAGGAGGGGACACTTAAGCTGAGACATTAAAGAGGCCTAGGGTTTTAAGAGGAAGAGGTGAAAAGTATTCCAGGCATGGAGAATTGTATAGGATAGGTTGGACTCAGATTGGGAATAGCTTTAAAAGCCAAACAAAAGAGTTTGTATTTGATCCTGCAGGTAATAAGGAGCAGCCCTTCAAGTTTATTGAGTAGGGAGGTGACATAGTCAGATCTGTATATCAGGAAGATCACTTTGGCAGCTGAACAGAGGAAAAATTGGAGCAGAGAGAAAACTGAGGTAGGGACACCAAGCAGAAAACAAAGAACCTAAGGCCTTATTCACTGGCTATGTGTTGGTTTCAGAAGGGGAGAATGCACATCCTTCCTTCACAGAGTGCTACTAGGCTGGTATCAATAAACATTAAATGCCTGCTATGTTTCAGGCACTGTGCTAAACTGAGGATACAAAAAAGGGCAAAAGGCAGTCCCTGCCCTCAAGGAGCTCACAATTTAATGGCAGAGACAACATGTAAGCAAATATATATAAAAAGCATACTATATACAGGATAAACAGAAAATTATTAAAAGAGAGAAGACACTAGAATTAAGAGAGGTTGGGGAAGGCTTCTTGACAAGGTAGGGTTTTAGCTGGGATTCACATTAAGTGAAATAAGGGGTAAGGTCTGGGACCAGTTATGGAATGTTTACATATGCTCCAAAGTCTATGAGGGAATTGTATGAGTTAACATATAACGACATACACGATATACAAGTTGGTAAGGACTGGAATCATTGGCCAGTCCCCCTTTATATTCACCATGCACCCTTGGCCTCACCATGATTCAGGATGAGAGGGGTTCAGTTCTCTGTTACATTTTCAAATAGGAAATAGTATAGAAAGAAAGCAGGCCTTTTCACTTTAAGAATACAAAGTTTTCTGAAGAAACTCCAACAATAAATTAACTCAAACCCATTACATTATGTTAACAGTTTTACTTCTTTTGTAATTAGTGGGAGAAGAAAAGAAGATATACAATTGTTAATACTAGAAATATAAGTGGCAACAAGTCAGGTTAGACTAGTTCTACAGAATTGCCCTCATGGAGGAAATGGATGAAACCTTTGTTCTGTGAGCCTTAGAAAACAAAGAAATTGAGCCAGAAGGGTTCTGTAAACAGAGACAAGACTGTCAGTCTGTATTCTATTTCAATTCTAGCTCAAAGGAAGGCCTCCACTATCTTAGAGATCTGTCCCATGTAGATATTCTGATGGGATTAATTAGAGGCCTCCAGCACCACCAAGATCGTCTAAAGTGATTATCCACAGAGAAACATCCCAACCAGGATAAACCTGATTTTAGGCAACAAGGTTATCAAGTTAAAATAAGGTTAGAACAATCTTCCCTACCCTCCCAACCCCAAATTACCTGACCTCTTGCCCCTATTACTCAACATTCCAAATATGGAAAATAATTGAGCAGATTCACATTCCTTTTGCCACCTGTCCTAAGGCTACATAAAACCCTATACCGTATCTCTCTTTTTTTCAGAGTTTCTAGCCACTTAGCAACTGGTCATCAGCTGGGACTAATTAAATGGTTAATCTTCTAGTCTTATCTCTTGATTTATTGACCTCCAGTCAAATGGATAAATATGGGAGAAATTACTCTCCAGCTGGATCTTAGGATCTTTGGGTTGAGAAATTCCCCAGCATCTTCAAGGCAAAACAGGGGATCTAGCACCAAGTAAACAGAATGGCAAGATACTGCATGAATGTTGGTAGTTAGAGCCATATGGGCAAGCCAGGATTAGGATGTATACGACAAGAGAGAGTCAAGGAAGAATCATAAAGTTAGAACCTAGGCAATGAAACAAAATGAGACAAAACCAGGAGAATGGAGATATTTGCCGGAAATCAATTTTTAAAAATAATGAATTGTCAAAGAGTTGAAGGGGCATAACCGAGGTCAAAAGTTTAGGTAATATTTTAAGAACTGAAAAAATAGTGTTGAAGAGGAAGGAGATGAGACTTGAGTCACTAAGAGCAAAGGATGACCTTTATAACTGAAGCAGCTTTTCTCCTTTAGGTTCAGAACTTCCTTTGGTTAAATAGGGAATTAATCTGAAAATATCCAGCCCAGGCCAACTAGGTAGCTGGAAATTCAGGTCTCTACCTCAGTTTACCATGGGCAAACAAATCCAGACAACTACTATAAACCAGTCTCTGAGATTGTTTCTTCTAGAGCTTCAAGCACTAGAGCTCTAGTCCTCTTTGGACATCAATGGAAACACTAAGGCAGGAGTGGGGAACCTTTGGCCTCAAGGCCACATTTGGCCCTCTAGGTCCTCAAGTGAGGCCCTTTGACTGAATCCAACTTTCACAGAACAAATAAAAAGATTTGTTCTGTGAAAACTTGGACTCAGTCAAAGGGTCACACCCAAGGACCTAGAAGGCCTCGGCCTCAAGGCCAAAACTTCCCCACCTCTGCTCTAAGACTATGAGTTTATTTCCCCTATGATAGTGCTTCTAGTAGCATTTCTAATTTATGTAATACTTAGAGCTGAATGGAAATTGGTCTGAGTGCTGTATGTGTGTTTAACTGAAAAAAAAATACACCAACTTCAACCTCTAACTGCTACTAGCTCATTTCCTTTTTATGTCTTTTTCTCTAGGCTCTATAGCAGTCTGGGGTATGGGTACCTCAAAGATGACTAAAATTGCAAAAGTTATTTCTCTATTTGATTTACCCCCCCCACCTTTCTGATATTCCCGAGCTGAGGGATATCTCCTCTCACTTTTGGGTAACTTCTGCTCTCTTGATCTCAAATCAAGGATTTATAGGCTTGGATATAAATCATTATTAGTGGCCATGTATTTTAATATCAGTTTTAGATAGCTTAGGACACAAACAGTCACTAAACATAAGGTATAACAAACTACAATATCACATGCAGTGGAGGGGAGTTGAATTTCACCCTCCTAACTTTTCCTACCCCCTGGTCAGAGGGAGGAGCTACTTAAAGGTAAAGTGGTTGTAAAAGTAAATGTAGTGTGGCTTCTGTGGGCAGTCTTCCAGGGAAACAGGAAAAACACAGGTACTATGGACTGGATTCTGGTAGTTTTGTTAGTTTGCTTTCCTTTCCAGTTCATCCTCTTTGACTCTTTCTATTGTTTCTGATTCCTCACTTCATGAACTCTCTGCTACACCACAGAAAGAAGCATAGAGAACCAATGTGACTCTTAATCTTCCTCTCCTCCTCCTTTTTCTTCTTTTTAAAAAAAATTTTGTTAATTTATTTTGATTTATCAACAATCACTTCCTTAAGCTTTTGAGTCTTAAAATTTTCTCCCCCTCCCTCCCTGCCTTCCTTTCCAAGGCACACAATCTGATATAGGCTACATGTATACATTCCTATTAAACATATTTTCACATTAGTCATATTGTAAAGAAGAATTAGAATCAATAAGAAGAACCTCCAGAAAGAGGAAACAAAACAAAACAGAAGAAAAAAAAGAGCAATTAGTATGCTTCAATCTGCATTCAAACTTATACTTCTTTCTTTGAACGTGAATTGCATTTTCCATCATGAGACCTTTGGAGATGTCTTAGATCCTTGCCTTGCTAAGTCTATCAAGGTTAGTCTTCACACAACGTGGCTGTTACTGTGTACAACATTCTCCTGGTTCTATTCATTTCACTCAGCAACATTCCATACAAGTCTTTCTGGGTTTTTCTGAACTCTGCCTGCTCATCATTTCTTATAGCACAATAGTATTCCATTACATTTATATACCACAGCTTGTTCAGCCATTCCCCAATTGATGGGCATCCTCAATTTCCAATTCTTTACCACCACAAAAAGAGCTACTATATATATTTTTGTACATGTGGGTCCTTTTCCCATTTGTATGATCTCTTTGGGATACAGCCCTAGAAGTGTTATCGCTAAGTCAATAGGGGGTATGCACATTTTTATAGCCCTTTGGGCATAGTTCCAAATTGCTCTTCAAAATGATTGGATCATTTCACAACTCCACCAACAATGCAACTAATTTTCCCACATCTTCTCCAAC